AGGGAGGGCTATGAAGAGCTTTTAACATCAAATAGAGGATTTTATTTTTTTTTATATGAAAGGGAGCCACCTCCATGTGAGTGCTTGCCTTGTGTGAGTTCTCTTTAAAAGGTTCTTTCAGGCAAACATATATTTGATATTCAAACAATGTGGTGAGTCCATTGGAGTCAGCCTCACTCTCTCTTCCAGAGTTATCAGATCCAATGGCAAGATAAAAGTCAGGATGATTGGCAATTGGTCAGAATGCAGTGGATGACCTTGGCATCTCTGACGTTTAACCAAGCTCTAAGAGCTACATGGCACCTGCTTCAGCCACCTTCATTGCCATTGGAACAAATTGTTCTTATCTACCCATTCTTCAGGGGGAAGTCTTCACATGCTTTGGGTAGACACCCCCCCCCAATGACTGTCAGGTTTAAGGCCTCTCAGTTACCTTCAACCTAATTTAGCCCATCTGCCAAGATGGTTTACCATGGTGTGGCCACTGAGTATGCTACAGCTTCTTGGAGTCACATATGACAGTTAGGTGGCAGGTGGACACCAAAGTTGGGAAGCAGAGGTACTAGTCTTCCTTACCCCCATCTACCCCCACACAGGTTGTAAGAGACAGGGGAAGGATTTGAACTAAGTCCCCCATGCTTGGAATGCACTTCCATCTTATTTCTGCCTTTCAGAATCCTACCCTTAATTCAAGGCTCAGCTCATTTAGCACCTCCTGCTTGAAGCCTCTTATTTTCCCAGATACCCCTTAAATTTTCATAGATTACTTTTTACTGGATCTCTCTTCTACCCTATCACATCCTGCCATTTTTTCTATATGTCATTACCCAACATTACATATAAGGTCAATGACAGCATGAATTATGTCATTCCTTGGTGTCTTGGAAACAGAATCAAAAAAGGTTTTAGCTTACTAAGAAGGAAAAGAAAGTGTTTTCACCAAATTAGGTATCATAGAAAGGCCACAATAGAAAAAATGTATTACTGAAAAGGCATCCAAAAATTTACAGAAAAGAAAATCCAAGAAAAGAGCCAGCAGTAAAATCAATGACCTAAAATGCCTCTACACAAATGCCCAAAGTTTAGGTAGCAAGCAAGATAAACCAGCAGTTATACACCAAGGCCAACTAGACCTCATAAGCATCTCTGAAAATTGGTGGTATAAGATCCGCATGTGGGGTGACAGAGCCAAGGGGGTGGAGACAAGATGATGAAGAAAAGGCATCAACTCACCTTAGTTCTCCCTTTAAACATCTTTAAATAATGCCATAAAATAACCCCTGGAGTGGCAGAACACACAAAAGGACAGGGTGAAATAATTTTCTAGTGAAAGACAACAGAAGGTTGGCAGCAAAGATCTGTCACACCTGGGTGAGAGTGGAGCACAGGCTAGTGTAGGCCATGCCAGCACAAACCAGGCCCCAGCAAACCCGGAGAAGGCCTTGGGAGGCACTGAATCAGCAGTAGCAGCACCTGTGGCTGCTTCCAGAGCTCTCAGCCCCAAGACTGTAAGGGCATAGAATAACTGGTCAGAAGGAGATTACAGGGATCTCTTTGCGGGCAACAAGGGCAAGACTCAGTTGCTTTGCCCATACTCAGATCCGAGTCACAGTCCTGGGTGGCAGTCCCAGGGCAAGAAGGAGCACTAGCACACCAAAGCTTGTGTGGCCACAGTGGAGCCACAGGGACCCTCCTCATAGTTCCAGGGCAGAAAAGAGTGCTTGTGGTCACAGAGCACAGGCCAAGAGGGTAGTAAACACAACTTAGAAGAACTAAGAAGAACTAAAAACTTACAAATACCTAGAAGTATCTCTGAAAACAGCTACACAAAACCTCTGAAGCTTGGGACAGTGTGCCTTCCACTCTGGAAGAAGAGTCCTACTTTAACAAAGTGTTAGGAGTCAAGTAATAGGCTGGGAAAATGAGCAAACAACAGAAAAAATTCTGACCACAGAAAGTTACCATGGTGACAAGGAAAATCAAAACACACACTCAGAAGATAAAAAATCAAAACTCCTATATCCAAAGCCTCCAAGAAAAATATGAATTGGTCTCAGGCCATGGAAGAGCTCAAAAAGGATTTTGAAAATGAAATAAGAGAGGGAAAGGAAAAAAATTGGGAAGACAAATGAGAATGATGCAAGAAAATCATGAAAAACAAGTTAACAGCTTGGTAAAGGAGACACAAAAAAATACTGAAGAAAATAATACATTAACAAACAGACTAGGCCAAATGGTAAAATAGGTCCAAAAAGCCAATGAGGAGAAAAACACCTTAAAAAAGCAGAATTGGCCAAATGGAAAAAGAGGCACAAACATTCACTGAAGAAAAAAACTCCTTAAAAAGTAGAATTGGCCAAATGGAAAATGAGGTACAAAAGCTCACTGAAGAAAATACTTCTTCAAAAATTAGAATTGAGCAAATGGAAGCTAATGACTTCATGAGAAATCAAGAAACAATAAAACAAAACCAAAGAATGAAAAATAGAAGACAATGTGAAATATCTCATTAGAAAAACAACTGTCCTGGAAAATAGATCCAGGAGAGATCATTTTAAAATTATTGTATTACCTGAAATCCATGATCAAAAAAATAGCCTAGATATCATCTTTCAAGAAGTTATCAAGGAAAACTGCCTTGATATTCTAGAACCAGAGAGTAAAATAGAAATTGAAAGAATACATCAGGGGCAGCTAGGTGGCGCAGTGGATAGAGCACTGGCCCTGAAGTCAGAAGGACCTGAGTTCAAATCCAGCCTCAGACCAAATACTTGACACTTACTAGCTGTGTGACCCTGCGCAAGTCACTTAACCCCAATTGCCTAAAAAATTAAAAAAAAAATTAAAAAAAAGAATACATCAATCACCTCCTGAAAGATCTCCCAAAATAAAAACTCCAAGGAACATTACAGCTAAATTTCAGAGCTCCTGAATCAAGGAGAAAAGCAGCCAGAAGAAAATTCAAGTATGGTGGAGCCACAGTCAGGATAACACAAGATATAGCAGTTCTACATTAAAAGATCAAAGGGCTTGGAATATGATGTTCCAGAGAGCAAAGGAGCTAGGATTTCAACCAAGAATGACCTCTCCAGCAAAACTGAGTATAATCTTTCAGGGGGGAAATCGATATTCAATGAAATAGAGGACTTTCAAGCATTCTCAATGAAAAGACCAGAGTTGAATAGAAAATTTGACTTGCAAATAGAAGACTTAGGAGAAGCATAAAGAGGTAAATAGGAAAGGGAAATCATAAAGGACTTAATAAGGTTAAACTGTTTACATTCCTACATGGGAAGATGATACTTGTAACTCATGAGAACTTTTTCATTATTAGGGCAATTAGAAGGAGTATATATAGACAGAGGGCACAGGTGTGAGTTGAAAATGAAAGGATGATATTGAAAGCAAGTAAAATTAAGGGGCGAGAGAAGAATATACTGGGAGAAAAGAAAAGGGAGAGGTAGAATGGGGAAAATTATCTCACATTAAAGGGCCAAGAAAAAGCCTTTACAATAGAGGAGAAGAGGAGGGAGACGAGGGACAGTGAGTGAACCTCACCTGCGTTGGAACTTGTTGAAAGACAGAATAACATATACACTCAATTGGGTATAGAAATCTATCTTACCCTACAGGAAAGTAGGAGGGGAAGGGAAAAAATGAAGTTGGGGGGCGATGATAGAAGGGAAAGCAGATTGGGGGAGGGGTGTCAGAAGAAAAACACTTTTGAGGAGGGACAGGCTAAAAGGAGACATAAAATAGAATAAATGGGGATGGGAGAATAGGATGGGGGAAATACAGTTAGTAATAGTAACTGAAAAAAATTAAAGCAACTTTCTCTGGTAAAGGCCTCATTTCTCAAACATATAGAGAACTGAGTCAAATTTATAAAAATAAGAGCCATTCCCCAATTGATAAATGATCAAAAGATATGAACAGTTTTCAGATGAAATAATCAAAGCTATCTATAGCCATATGAAAAAATGCTGTAACTCATCATTGATTGGAGAAATGCAAACTTAAACAATCTGAGGTACTACCTCATACCTATTAGGTTGACTAATAGGACAGAAAAGTAAAATGATGGGGGAAAAATGTTGGAGGGGACGGGGGGAAAATGAGACATTAATGCATTGTTGGTGGAATTGTGAACTAATCCAACCATTCTGTAGGGCAATTTGGAACTATGCCCAAACCATGCATACCCTTTGACCTAGCAATACCACTACTAGGTCTGTATCCCCAAAGAGATTAAAAAAAAGAAAGAAAAGGACATACATGTACAAAAATATTTATAGGAGCTCTTTTCTGGTGGCAAAGAATTTGACTTTGAGGGGATGCCCATTAATTGGGGAATGACTGAACAAGTTGTGGTATGTGATTATGATGGAATACTACTGTGCTATAAGAAATGATGAGCAGGATGCTCTCAGAAAAAAATTGGAAAGACTTATATGAGCATCATGATGTAAAGTGAAATGTACCATGTAGAAAGTAATAGCAATATTGTAAGATGATCAGCTGTGAATGACTTAGCTATTCTCAGCAATACAATGATCCAAAACAACTTGAAAGGACTTATGATGAAAAATGCTATTCATTCCCAGAGAAAGAACTGATGGTGTCTGAATACAGATTGAAACATACTTTTTTTTTACTTTATTTTTCTAGAGGTGGTTTTTTTTTTCAGCCTGTATTTTCTTTCACAACATGACTAATATAGAAATATGTTTTACATGACCATACGTTCAATTACTTGCCCTCCTGATGAGGGGAGTAGGGAGGGAGGAAGGGAGAAAATTTGGAGCTCAAAGTTTTCAAAATGAATATTAAAAATAGTTTTTACATATAATTAGGGGGAAATAAAATACTAAACAAAAAAAAAGATCCACATGTGGGTCTATAATAGCATATCTTATTCAAAAGAAACAGATAAGTAAAAGTGCTCTGGCATCCAGACCGGTGCAAAGTGACTGTGACTGAGTTGTCAGGCCAGGATCACCATGGCTCTTAAAAGGCTCTCCAGGTTTTTATCTCTTGTTCTGTCTGCAATTTCAGTGTATTTTAGAAGGAATATTGGTGTTACAACTGTTGCATTTAACAAGGAACTTGATCCTGTTCAAACACTCTTTGTAGACAAGATTAGAGAATATAAATCCAAGAGACAGGCAGCCGGGGGACTTGTTGTTATAGGTCCTAAATATCAACAAGATCTGGACAGGGAACTATTCAAGCTTAAGCAGATGTATGGTAAAGCAGACATGAACACATTCCCAACATTCAAATTTGAAGACCCCAAATTTGAAGAGGCACCTAAACCCTAGTCTTGAGGATTAACTACGGAGTGTATATTGCTGTTTGATTATTTGTCATGAATTAGTTGTGTAACTAATCCACAGTAACAATAAATTTTAATTTCACTTTCACCAAAAAAAAAAAAGAAACAGATAAGTAAGGAGGAGGTAATAGTATATATTAAGAGGGCATATTTGTATGAGAAATCCAGGAATTAGAGAGAAGAAAAATGGCAGGTCACATTTGGTTGGAGCAAGCACTTTTGTTATTAGAATATACTACCGAACACCTAGACAAAAGGAGGAATTCATAAAACAGATCACAAGCCTGGAACAGAGGCATGATATAGCTGTGATGGAGGACTTCAATTATCTAGGCATCTGTTCAAGATCTCTCTGCCAAAAGCAGAGCAGCCAATAATTTCTTGCCTTGGTTATAATTTCATCTTACAAAATATGGAGGAACAAGAGGAATTCTATTCTGGATGTGATTCATACCGACAAGAAGAAAATGATGGATACATTTGGGGTGTGGGGGTGGGGAGGAGGGGACACTGGCAACTATAGTTTGTAATAGAACAAAAGAGAAAATCTGGGCAAAGACTGAAAAGTATCTTAGATTTTAAGAGATCATGTTTCAAAGAGTCCAGAGAAGGATATGTACAATCCTATGGATTTAAATCCTCAGAAGTCAGTCCAGGGGACACGAGAAATTCCCAAGAATGAATTTCTGCCCAAAGAGATCATAAAAATGGGGAAAGGACCCACATGTACAAAAATATTTATAGCAACTCTTTCTGTGGTGGCAAAGAATTGGAAATTGAGGGGATACCAATCAATTGGAGAATGACTGAACAAGTTGTGGTATAGGGATGTAATGGAATACTATTGTGCTATAAGAAATAATAAGCAGGCAGACATCAGAAAAAACCTAGAAAGACTTGTATGGACTGATGCTGAGTGAAGTGAGCAGAACCAGGAGAACATTGTACACAGTAACAGCCACATTGTGCGATGACTAACTTTGATGCTCTTCTCAGCAACGCAAGGATCTAAGACATCTCCAAAAGACTCAAGATGGAAAATACTATCCACATCCAGAGAAAGAACTACAGAATCTGAATTCAGATCAAAGCATACTATTTGCTCTTTCTTTTTCTTCTGTTTTGTTTTGTTTCTTCTGTCTCATGATTCCTCCTATTGGTTCTAATTCTTCTTTACAACATGACTAATGTGAAAATATGTTTAATAAGAATGTATATGTAGAGCCTATATCAGATTGCACACCATCTTGGAGAGGGAGGAGGGGAGGGAGGGTGAGAAAACTTAAAATTCAAAAGCTTATGGAAGTGAATGCTGAAAACTAAAAATAAATTAATTTTTAAAAAGAATAAATTTCTGAAGACACAAAATAAAATAATTCTAACGCAGAAAAAATAGCAGCGTTATCTAAAAAGTCCAATGTGGATTCATGTAGAACTCACAGATCAACTTAGATTTTTAAAAGCATATGTACAGAAGATGAAAACAAAGGGATGAGACAGAGGATTGATATTAAAGTGTGTCTGAGTTTATAAGAAGAGTGTCAAGAGTGTTAAAATCTAGAATGAGCTGTAACGGGTAAGAATAACTCAGAACAACAAAAGGGTAGGTTGGATTTTTTCTTGTTTTTACTGTATTGGAGTAAGAGAAGGAAAAGAGAACAGATAGTCCTAATTCATAAGACAGGTAAGACAATAAAAATTGACAACAGAAAAAAGTCAGAGTAATTTAATTCATGGTTTCCTTCTGTTTTCTCTATGAAGAAAAATAAACTTTGCACTAGGAGAAAAAAAGAACAAAACTGACTCGTAGGTAGTTGATCCTTAAAACAAGTAAGAATATAGTAAGAGAACACAATGAATTTGAGTCACAGCTCAGATGAACTACATCCTGAGGTAAGGATGAACTATTGTCAGGGTCATTTGAAAGATTGTGGGGCAGAGAAGTATCATACAACGGAAGGAGGTATATTTTGTCTGGATTGTTAAAAAAAAAAAGTCTGGAAACTATAAATTATTAACTCTAGACCAGTGAGCTCAATATCAAGCCCATGGAAAATGCTAGAGCATGTTATTAAAGGCATGACTAATAAATATCTAAATAAGCAAGATCTGATCATAAAGAATCAGCATGGCTTCACTAAGAATAGTTCATGCTAGACTAACCACAATTTCGTTTTTGCCAGTTTTACTAAATGAACATCAGGGGGAAACTATATATGTAAATAAATCTAGGTAAACTTACCTATATTTGAACAAGGCTATCTCATGTTATTCTTGTGGAAAAGATGGAGAAGCGTAAGCTATGTGCACAGGGATGTGCTGGTAAATGTTTAACAGCCAGTTCTCCAAAAAAATTATATAGGACACACTTTCAAGTTTAATCAGTACTATTTACATTTTCTACATCACTTTCTTAAGTCTAAACAAGCAACAAAACGATAAATCAAGCTTTTGGTTTATAGTGTTCGTTGATTTTCAAGGTGTAAATGATGACAATGAAAATCTAACAATCAACTCTTACAAGCCAGTTTGAGCTGGATCCAGCACACCCTTGGTTAAGCCTTTTACATTTAGGTGGATTTGGAATTTGATGAAGAGTTGGACTCAAAGAGTATTTATTAATTGTTCCATGTCAACTTGGAAGGAGGTCTTTAGTGTTTGACCCTGTGCTGTTTAACATTTTTTAACAATGAGAAGACTTAATTCAAATTTTCAGATGACACAAAGTTAGAAGTTGTAGCTAATACCCTACGACAATATCCAAAAATATCCTGAAAGCCTGAAAAACAAGATGAAATTTAAAAGGTATAAATGTACATTTGGGCACCAGAAGTTGTCTTCACAAGTACAAGATGGAGAACGAATGAATAGGGGGCAGCTAGGTGGCGCAGTGGATAGAGCACTGGCCCTGAAGTCAGAAGGACCTGAGTTCAAATCCAGCCTCAGACCAAATACTTGATACTTATTAGCTGTGTGACCCTGAGGCAAGTCACTTAACACCAACTGCCTAAAAATTTTTAAAAAAAAAGAATGAATGGCTAGATACTTAGCTGTTAATCTGGGGGAAAAAAAGATCTTGGGGTTTTAGTGGACCACATGTTCAATTTGAGTCAATAGTGCACTATGGCCACTGAAAATCAAATGCAATTCTGGGCTGCATTAGGATAGATACAGTTTCCAGAAATAGAGAAGTGATGGTCTTCTACTCTGCCCTGGTCAAACCATATTTGCAGTATCAGGTTCACCCTGGGCATCACACTTTCAAAAGGACATTGATAAACTAGAGAGTTTTCAGATGTGGGAAACCAGGCGATTAAAGAGCCTTGAATCTATGCCACATGAGCTTTCATTAAAGGACTAGGGGTGTTGTCCTCTAGTTGAATGCAAATTCCTTGAGTGCATGGACTATCTCATTTTTGAATTTACATTATCAGCACCCAGTACGGTGCCTGGCATGCAGCAGGCAATTAATACATATTTTACTGATCGATTGATTTAGCTTGTAGAAGAAAAGGTGCATGATGGGAATAATCAATAATTAATAATTAAAAGTATTTGAAAGACTGTCATATGAAAGAGAAATTAGACTTGGCCTGCTTGGCCCTAGAAACCAAAACTAGGAGCGATGACTAAAAATAATTATCCTTCCCCCCCAAAATCTTCCTCACTTCCAATTTCCCTATTTCTTTCCATTCTCTCAGGTTTATAACCTTGGTATTATCCTCTATTGCTCTGCATCCCTCAACCCACGTATATAATCAGTTACCAAATTCTGCTATTTCTACCCCTAAAATATCTTTTGCATCTGACCCCCTTCTCTCTACTGATACAGCTAGAAAGAAAGGTTCAGGCTTTCACGACCTCTATCCTAGATCATTTTAGTAGCCCCCTAATTGACTGCCAACCCTCCACATCAGTCCATCTTATACTTCCGCTAAAGGGCAGATCTAATTATGTATTCTTCTACTCAATCAATTCTAGTGGCCCATTATTGTCTCTAGGATAAGATATAAACTCCTCTATCTAGCTTTTAAAGCACGGCACAACCTAACCCAAACTTATCTTTTCAGATTCACTGGACATTAGTACCCTCCCATTACACCCTATTACAAAGTCAAACTGACCTTCTATCTCTTCTTCCCACATAATACCACATTTCCCATCTTCATGCTTTTATACTGATTATATTCCATTTCTGGAATGCACTCCCTCCTTACTTCTGCCTCAGTGAATCCCTTTCTTCCTCCAAGAAACAATTTAAGCAACGCCTCCCTACGTGAAGACTTTCCTACTCTCCCCCAACTACTAGTAGCTCCTCTCCCAAACTACCTTGTATGTAATTACTTTGAATTTATTTGTATTTATTCTATTTATATTTATTCTTAATATATTTACACATACTTGTCTCTCTCACTAGAATGTAAGCCCCTTGCAAACAAGAATTGTTTCATTCATTGTAGTTGTATCCTCAGAGCCTTACATAGTTTCTGGAACATACTAGGCACTTAATAAATTCATGTTGATTAAGTGACATTACAAAAAGGCTAACTTAAGCTTGATGAAAAGAAAAATATCCTGGCAATTAGAATTATCCCAAAGTGAAAAGGGTTGCATCAGGAAGTAATGGGCCTCTCTCACTAGAGGTCATCAGAAGGAAGCTGGCTGACCACTCACTGAGTACATTATACTGAGGACTATTTCATACAAGGGCTGGTCTGGATAGTTGCTAACCTCCTTTCTAATCTGAAAATTCTGAGATTCTACAATTTATAATTTTTGTTCCCCTGTGCCTGGATCAATCCTTTGCATAATACAAACATGTAAATGCTTGTTGAATTGAATAGAGCAGAGGATTCATTTAGTGGCAGTTATCTGGAAATATGGATAATCAGAGACAGACTATGAAAAGCATTATCTGTAAACATCAGGAATTTTTTTTTTCTGTGCCAGAGAAAGAAATAAGGGACAAGAGGGAAACAAGAATCTGTATGGTGCAATATCACCAAATTCTAGAAGGGAGACAGTTTCAACAGTGTCAA